CCTCTCTCATTAAATGAAGAGCAAAGTTACTAAAGTGGAGTGTGACCAGGTGGGGCAGTATGAGGTACAGTTTAAGAAAGTAAACATAGATGAATAATCGGTATAGTTGTTAGTATCAATACTGTACACACGAATTCTCAGCTAATATTTATGAATAAATATTGTAGAGAGAACATTTTGTGAAAAATCACAGTGGTAGTTAACCCTTACTTAGGACTCGCTGGGGGTCAAACATTGTACTAAGTGCTTTTCATATATTAACTCACTGAATCCTCACAGCAACCCTTTGAGCAAGTTTAGCTGGCAAGTGGAGGTGCCAGAAATTGATGCTGGCCTCTGGCTCTAGAGCCTGTGCTCTTTATCACTATATGCTATTTACAGGTTTTAGAAATCCACTGGAAGAGAAAATAATGCTCTCTCGAAGGAGTCTTTCAGGTCTGGAGAAGCAGCTTCCTTCTATTAATAAAGGCAGAATGATAGAATCACAAGCTACAAGTGAATATTTCTGTTTCCTCAAACTTAGATCTTATACTGCTACTTCTAATGAAACCCAGGTTAAGCCATGCAAAAGGAAATGGAAATGTCTTTATTTTCTTTTCTGTAAAATTCAGTGATCAACAGACATTTGCATGTCATCTACCTTTGGCCAAGCACTAGACAGACACATGGAGAGGAATTAGGATGTTCTCTGACTTTGAAGAATGAAGCCATATGTAACGCACTATGGTAAGTGCAGTGACTGAGCCATGCTCAGGATTGTAATGGGAGCAGAGCAGAGAATCTCTTTTGGTGTCTTCTAGCGGACTCCTCCCAATCTCCCTCATTCCATGCTCAGGCTAAAACGTCTCAAGGATGTATAGAGGCTGGTGTGGGGAGTGGGTGATACGGTTAACCAGCAGCCATCCAGAAAGAAAGGACAGCATTTGCAGAGGTGCAATGCTTTGCAGCCTCCTTAAGTCATTGGGAGTACTAACTAAATTATGTATTCATGGACCCCATTTCAGATGTTCTGAATCAGAATCTCCAGGGAGAGGCTTTGGAGACTGTGACTAACGGGGGCCCCAGGTGATTCTTATCAGCGGAGCTTGGGCAACACAGGACGAGTAGAATACAGTCTGTTCATGAACGTTGTTTGGGATGAGTTTTGGAGAGAATGGTTGAGAATAAGATTGGGTAGTATAAAGGTCACTTCATGTCATCTGTGTCTTTCTGATTGTTCAGTTTTCTTTTTGTATCCTACTTGATGCTGCTACTTCTCAGGCATTAATAGATACATTAAACTGAGCATTTACTTGGATAACTTTACATTGAAAGCTTTGGACCTAAAGCCCAGCATACAAGATTCCCAACCTTTATTTATCTACAGCTTGGGAAACATTCAAATAGGAGAGTGGGGAAGAGGATGAGCATTGTTTATCTATAGCTTGTCCCATGACTTTTAATCATGTTTCATTTTATTTGTTAGAAGACTGAGTAGCTACTAAGTGGGACAGCTAATGTTTGAGCCTGGGCTTACAGAGCAGGAGAAATGTGATTTGTCAAAAAGGGGTGAGCAAAGTGCTAGTTCCTTCAGTTAAAATAAGTGAACTGACAGCCAGGCATGGTGGCTCATACCTGTAATCCCAACACTTTGGGAGGCAAGACAGGTGGGTCACCTGAGGTCAGGAGTTCAAGACCAGCCTGGCCAACCTGGTGAAACCCTGTCTCTACTAAAAATACAAAAATTAGCTGGGCATGGTGGTGGGTGCCTGTAATCCTAGCTATCTGGGAGGCTGAGGCAGGAGAATCACTTCCACTCGGGAGGTGGAGGTTGCAGTGAGCCAAGATCACGCCATTGATCTCCAGCCTGGGCGACAGAGTGAGATTCCATCCCCCTAAAAAAAGAAAGAAAAGAAAAAAGGGTGAACTGCAAAATGCAGGGTTGGAGTCAAGGTTCATAGTAACCTTTGTTACCATATAAAGATGTGTGCCCACCATTCCTCTTGTTGCCCAGGCTGGAGTACAATGGCGTGATCTTGGCTCACCGCAACCTCCACCTACTGGGTTCAAGTGATTCTCCTGTCTTAGCCTCCCGAGTAGCTGGGATTACAGGCGTGCACCACCATACCTGGCTAATTGTATTTTTAGTAGAGATGGATTTCTCCATGTTGGTCAGGCAGGTCTTGAACTGCCGACCTCAGGACCTCAGGTGATCTACCTGCCTCGGCCTCCCAAAGTACTGGAATTACAGGCATGAACCACTGTGCCTGGTTCACAATCAGTATCTTTTTACTAACATGTACAGTAACATTACTGGATCTGGAAACTAATTCAATGCATCCTAACTAGTATTAATATGAAAGAGAGAAGAAAGAAAATCCCTGTATGCATTGGCAGGTGGTAAGGGTAAGAAATGTTTCGTAGAACTTTTGTTTCAGAGGGGTGTGTGTGTGTGTGTGTGTGTTGTGTGTGTGTGTGTGTGTAAATTCTACTTTGCATCATAGAATGTTTTTCTCACTAGGATGGCAGTTAACACATTTCAAAAGCTTCTGAACTAGGATTACTAAATAGATCCTTGGTTATTCCTGCCCAGTATAAAAGAGTTTAAATTTTAAACTAGAAATGTGAAAGGATTTTCATCATATGTTCAGTAACGCCAAGCCTTGGCTTTTCTCTTCAGTCCCTTCAAAGCACTTCTCTATCTAGTTTAAATCTGTCCTCTGATCCAAGGATCACTTTTCAGGAGAATAACAGTCCTTAAGAGAGCGAGTTCTTACAAAATGGTGAGCTGCCAGCCTTGGAGAATAGGAGAGAGACTCTTATAGGCTCCAGGAGGGGGCCATGGAAGGCAGTGAGCCAGCCCCAATTCTGTCTTCACTAAAATTCCTTGAAAATAAAAAAGGAGGAAGTAAGGGAAAAGGCAACATGGGAGTAAGTAGAGGAGCTAATGTACATTTAAAGATATTAAAAAGGCACAAAGAGAAGGAGACCTACTAATACTTTAGCAAGGAAATGTTTTTTCAGTCATTATGGGCTTGTTTCTTCAGAACTGCGTGACGTGGGGAGAGACGTGGGGAGAGACGTGGTTCTTGTCTGGGTTGTGGAATAAAAAGCTGATTGTTTCTGTGATCCAGTAAGTATGTTTGCCAGCGTGAGGTTATCAGTCAGACACACCACGAACTAGTAGAAGTTAGCACCTCCTGTATTTGTTTCATATTTGTTTGGTTATGCCTGTTTGGACTGTCAAGAAATTGTATTTCAAAATTTAAAAAGGGAAGTGAGATTGGAATTGTTTATGAGCTTGTAGACACTAGAGGGATGACCATTCTTATGTCTCAGTAAGAATTTAATGGCAAGTGAATACTTTTCTTTTAAGGTTTCTGGAAGTAAGTCAAATTGTGCTGACTTTTTCTTTCAACTTTTTAAGAACTATCACATTTGTCATAATGGTCACCTAATGTGCATCTTGTGAAACTAATGAAAAGCACTTAGTATTTATGTTCATTATTTTCCGTTATCTATTGATTCACTTATAAAGCACTCTCTTACGTTCTTATTCTGGGGGAGACATCTAGATATATTATGAACTACTTGAATAACTCAACCTGTCATTATGAGCAGTAGGTTAAAAGGATAAGCCACTTTTATATGTTTGGTGAAGTAAAAACCAGCTTTTCAAATATACTTTGGAGGCAGGCTTTTAAAAAATTATATTGAAAAGATAGTAAGTGTTATTTTGGCCAGTCAATCTTCATTGATTTAGTTCTTTATAAATATTTTAGAGGCCAAGCTCCAAAGGACTAAGAGCTGATAGGGATAGAATTGTATTTTTTTTCTTGTTCCTATCATTAGTATAAAACTGATAAGACCAACATTATGGGTATTTTCTCTCATTCATAAGACGGGCTATCTATTGTGGGTCCAATATCCAGGCACAACTATATACACTCAGAGGCTGTTGCTCTTCCCCTTAAAAGTGACTGTCTGCCTGCAATCCTAGCTACTTGGGAGACTGAGGCATGAGAATCACTTGAACCCATTTGTTTCCCTTTTTGTTTTGATTAGAAAATTCACATTCCAGGTAGCGCTGCATTTCTTGGAAAGTAAGGAAAACTTAGAAATAAAGAAAATAAGGGAATATGTATCAGTTCAATTTTGTTTTGTAGCAAAGTACCCCAAAACTTAATGACATAACATTATTGACATAATTTGGTCAGTGGGCAAGTCGGGCAGAGCTTAGCTGAGACAGCTTATCTCTCGTCTAGTGTGTGTCATCTGGGCACACTCACTTGTTAGTGGTCAGTGGGTAGTGGTGTCATTCATGTGTTTATAGAGGCTATGGTGGTAAATGGGGCAACTGAGACGTGGTGTGGCCTACAGTGGTTCCTAGAGCAGTGTCAGAGAATAAGCTCCAATAAACAAGCACTTTTCAAGCCTCTATTTTGCTGTCTTGTTTGCTAGTGTTACATTAGTTGAAGCAAGGCACATGGCCAAGCCCGGATTCCACAGGTAAAGAAAGACTCTACCTCTTGATTGGCAGAGTTATGCATGCAGAGATAGGGAGAATTTTTGGCCATTTTTGTAATCTACATAGAATGGGTTCGATTGATATCCTATGATCTATCAGACTTTTTGCTAGGTGGTTTACATGTTATTCATTGAGTCCTCACGACAATTTCCTGGCATGCCTGGCATTACTCCCATTGCAAAGATGATAAAATTGATGATCAGATAACTTAAGAGACCTGCATATATTAAGCCCAAATTGTTTGTTTCAAGTTATTCAATGGCCTTTTAGGTGCTGTCTCTTCTTAAGCAACATGATCAGATGCTTACATGATGCAGAATATGTATGCTTTATTTGGTTAAAATGGAATTCTAAAGGCCAACTTTACTTTCTCCCTTACATGTTGAACCGTATATTTATGGGTCATATATTTATTTGGTATAGAAAAAATATTAACATTTCACTATGTGTGAGACAGAAGCTCATGAAAGTGTGGTTCTTGTTTGCTTGCCAGGTCAGCCACACGACCTGGATCTCACCACAGTTTGGACATGACTGAGGCTCTCCAGTGGTCCAGATATCATTGGCGACGGCTGATCGGAGGTGCAACCAGGGATGATGATTCGAGGCCATACAACTATTCCTCCTTGCTCGCCTGTGGGGGCAAGTCCTCTCAGACCCCTAAACTGGCAGGAAAGCACCGGATTGTTGTTCCCCACCTCCAGGCCTTCAAGGATGAGTATGAGAAGTTCTCTGGAGCCTATGTGAACAATCGAATACGAACAACAAAGTACACACTTCTGAATTTTGTGCCAAGAAATTTATTTGAACAATTTCACAGGTACTGTTTTATTTTTGGAAAACAACCTTAGGCTATCATTATCATTGATATATAACTTTTTTTTTCATTGTCATAACCCTGTGTATTACTTAAACATAAGATTTGTGACATCATCCTTGACAATTTTGGTACGAATCTGTTGTGGAATGATGACTTCTTCCATTCACATAGCACTTTCCAATTGGTAAGGTGTTTTCTCTTTACCAGAAAAGACATTGTAATTCACAATATTATAGATTAGGAAATGAATTGACTGTGGTTTAGCCAATATCATGCCAGTGTCAAGTAGCAGACCAGGGGCTGCCTCCAGGGGTCTTCTTACTCTTGCTTTAGTGTTCTTTTCATGAGACCATGCTGCATTTTAATTTCAGATTATTCTTACTTGATAATATGAAGAAATAGAGCTCGGAAGCCAATGCAGGTGTCAGATGTTATTAGATGAAACAGTGACCTAATTCAGCTTAATATCACATTCATGGACATTCTCCTGTGAGTTTAGGCACTGCAAGAAATGCACGTGTGAGTGCCACTCCTCTCCTTGTGGAGTTTGCAGTTGTGCTAGGGAAACACAATAGTGTATAAAAAACAAAAAGACATAGTGAATGCAATGCGTGTTATAAAGGGCTGTCAAGTAGAATGAAAGCCTCAAAAAGAGAAATAATAACACTAACTGGAGCAATAGAAGGGGAAGTGACGTTTGACTTAATAATGGAGAGTGGGTGAGATATTCAAGGCAGGGGTGTGGGCAAAGCATATTTCAGATGGAGGAAGGAGTATGAATAACAGCGTAAAGGCAGTAGCATAGAAGGCTTGCTTGAAGCATGGGAAGTAGTCTTCTCTGACTTACATGTATCATCTATGCTTGGGAACAACAGGAAGTAAAGTCAGAAAGATAGATACAGCCCAGAAGAAAGGTCTTGCTCTCAGGATAAAGAGTTGAAAGCCAAGTCTGCAGGTACAATTAACATGCTTACATCCATATTTCACTACAGAGGCAGTGTAGTGGATAGATGAAAGGCTTTAGAGGTGATGGCAGAGAAAACATTTAGGAAGACGTTGAATATATCCCAGTGAATTGTAATGGACACCTGACCTTGGAACAATGTGGGAATGAAAAAAGGGTAACTACTTACAGATACTGTGGATTTAATGTAATGTATTCAGTGAAAGGAGGAGTAAAAAGAGTATATGAACATGTTGAGCTGTGATGACCAGAGTGATTAATAGAAAAATGAAAAACAAGAGTAAAAAGAACCTTGTCTGGAAGAGTATTTTGTTTTTGTAAATGTATTTAAGACACCAATGCAAGTAAAGAGTTTCTCCATATTCTTTAGCCATTCTACATATATTCATTCTCATTATTCATCCTAAATGTTTCATATGCATTTATTAAACAGTGGCTATGTTTAAAGGACAGAGATGAATTTGTTGAATTAATGGCTATGTAGCATGATGTGTGTTTCATTCTTTTATGGAGTTTGCAATCTAGTTTACCCAATGGAATAAAACTCTGAAACTTAAACACAGTTCAAGGTTAGAGCTATAGGTTTAGATGTGGTCCACGTGAAAAGAGTTGAAGCCACATAGTAGTAGAATTGGTTAGGAAAGAAATTTTCAGAGTAAAAGGATTTGGAGGTGACCAAAAAGAAGTATAAATAGATTATTCTTTTGAGAAGTTTTATGGTCAATGGAAAAATATGTGATAAAAATTCAAGGGCAGGATTGAGATTTTTTTTTCCTTTAAGGAAAAGAGTGTCTTGAACTTGCCATATGGCCAAAAATTAGGAACCCCTGGAGAAATATTTGAATATATAAAATAGAGGAATGGAAGAATTTCCTGAAGAAAGTGGTTCTGAATAGCATAAAAGAAGAAATAGAGGAGTTAGTCACAAGGAGGAAAAAAAATAGGCTTTTCTACTTAATTTTGATTAAGTATTTTAATTCACAGGTGTGAATCTAGGTTTGCTTAAGTCTAATGTTTGGATGTACAAAAGGCTAGAGGGTTGATCATAGTTTTGTTAATTAATTTTTGTAGCACATTAACTGAATTTCTTCTAAATTTTTCTGAACTTTTTTTTTTTTTGAGACGGAGTTTCGCTCTTGTTACCCAGGCTGGAGTGCAATGGCGTGATCTCGGCTCACCGCAACCTCTGCCTCCCAGGTTCAGGCAATTCTCCTGCCTCAGCTTCCTGAGCAGCTGGGATTACAGGCACACGCCACCATGCCCAGCTAATTTTTTGTAGTTTTAGTAGAGACGGGGTTTCACCGTGTTGTCCAGGATGGTCTCGATCTCTTGACCTCGTGATCCACCCACCTCGGCCTCCCAAAGTGCTGGGATTACAGGCGTGAACCACCGCGCCCGGCCCCTTTTTCTGAACTTTTAAAAGAAAATAGTATTTTCTATTGCACTTTTTGTCACATGACAGCTCAAGACTGTCCCACTCAAATATTTACTATTATATATTTAATAAATTATTTATTTATTTATTTATTTCTCCACCCAGGCTGGAGTGCAGTGGTAATGATCTTGGCTCACTGCAACCTCTGCCTTCTGGGTTCAAGTGATTCTTATGCCTCAGTCTCCTGAGTAGCTGGGCGCACAGGTGTGAATCACTACACCCAGCTAATTTTTGTATTTTTAGTAGAGACGGGGTTTCACCGTGTTGGCCAGGGGTGTCTTGAACTCCTGACGTCAAGTGATCTGCCTACCTTGGCCTCCCAAAGTGCTAAGATTACAGTGATGAGCCACCATACCCACCCCTGCTATCTCATATTTATTAAAGTATGACACAAGCCAGGTGTCTAGCAGGATAATGCATAGTTCATTGAGATTTGTTATATTTTGCTAGTTCTATATTCTGTAACGTAAAAAATCAACCTATAGAAACTTATAGAAAACCAATATAGTACTTTGCCTCTTACTTCAGTCCTTGAAGTGACTTCTTAACACCTCCTGTTGTGTGTTTGGGTTGCAGAGCTGCCAATTTATATTTCCTGTTCCTTGTTGTCCTGAACTGGGTACCTTTGGTAGAAGCCTTCCAAAAGGAAATCACCATGTTGCCTCTGGTGGTGGTCCTTACAATTATCGCAATTAAAGATGGCCTGGAAGATTATCGGAAATACAAAATTGACAAACAGATCAATAATTTAATAACTAAAGTTTATAGTAGGTAAGTGTAATAGGAGCTTTGCTAAGGACTATGTGTGTATCATTGAGAAATATGCAGAATGTTACTTTTTTCTCCTTAGGTGTCACCAGATCCGTTTGTGTTGTTGTTGTTGTTGCTGTTGTTTAACGAATATTTCATAAAGTCCTATGGTGAATTTTATTCAAGTGTCAGAGGAAAACAAAAATGTATAAGCCATTGTCAACTCAGGAGCTGAGAAAACAAAAGCTTCTATAACTCATGCATAAGTGGAATTAAAAGAATTGAACTTCAGAGCCAGGCATGGTGACTTACACCTGCAATCTCAACACTTTGGGAGGTCGAGGCGGGTAGATCACCTGATCAGGAGTTCGAGACCAGCCTGACCAACATGGTGAAACACTGTCTCTACTAAAAATACAAAAATTACCTGGACATGGTGGCTGGTGCCTGTAACCCCAGCTACTCAGGAGGCTGAGGCAGGAGAATCTCTAGAACCCATGAGGTAGATGTTGCTGTGAGCTGAGATCGCTCCATCGCACACCAGCCTGGGGACAGAGCAAGACTCTGTCTCAAAAAAAAAAAAAAAAGAATTAAACTTCAAACCATAAGAAGGAAAGCAAGCACATCGTTTTTAACCAAAGATGTTATAATTTAGGATTAAGAAGAGGATGGGATATGCAAATTAACGAATATGAATGTCTGTGAAAAACAAGCTGGGATATATAAAAAAGATGGGAGCCAACTACCTGCAGAGGAAAAGGATTGTGAAAAATGTAGGTGAAGCCTGTAATCCCAGCACTTTGGGAGGCCAAGGAGGGAAGATCACTTGAGGTCAGGAGTTTGAGGCCAGCCTAGCCAACATAGTGAAACACTGTCTCTACTAAAAAAATACAAAAATTAGCTGAACATGGTGGCAGGCGCCTGTAATCCCAGCGGCTTGGGAGGCTGAGGCAGAAGAATTGCTTGAATCCGGGAAGTGGAGGTTGCAGTAAGCAGAGATCGCATCACTGCACTCCAGCCTGGGTGACAGAGTGAGACTCCATCTCAAAAAAAAAAAAAAAAAAAAAATGGAGGAGAATATTCTTTTTGTGTGTGCACAAAACTAGATGCATCCCATCACAGTAACAACAGAGAGCATTCATAGGAGGAGGTCTTTTTAGGGGCATATTTGCCGTGTTAGAGACTTGTATTTTCAGTATTGATAAAAGAGAGAGTCTATGTAGCCAAGAATAAACTCAGTTCATGTGAGTTTTAAACTGTGGTGTATATTATTTGCAGCTCCTGGGTTTTTATTCTTAGATGTAAGTTTACACTTAGTAAACAGTATAGATAAATATAACTTGCCTTCAATCTTATGTGACCCAAAGAGGAAAATGTTAGGAAAGGCTTCTCTGAAGAGGTGATATTTAATCTGAAAGCTGCAGAATTCAAATTTTGTTCATTATTAGAATTCTTCAGTGACTTTCACAATGTTTGTTTTAATGATCTATCAAGAAAACAAGGAATAGAACTTTGTTTATTGTTTGTAAGGTGATTTGAGATTTCTTGGAAAATGAAAAATTATTTCTATTTTTTTCTGTTCTACTCATGTCCCATCTAAAGGGAACCAGAAAAAAATATGTGTTGTATTTTAAAATAAAATAATGGGATAAGTCCATGGTTTTTATTTAAAGTTATAGAGCATTTTACTAAAACAGTTCTATTAATAATTTAGAAACATTTGAATGCTTATTATATACCAGGGATAGAGAACTAAAATGTCTGTAGAGTCACTGATCTCGAAAAATAGCTATAAGAAACATTATTTTACAATGATTATATGATGAACAAAGTTCAGAATTTGACCAATTTTAAGATTAACCAGTGAATCCCAAATTGATCGAATAGAAAGAATGCTTATTATATATATTTTTGAATACAAACTCAAATATATAAATAATTGCAGGCCAGGTGCAATGGCTCACACCTGTAATCTCAGCACTTTGGGAGCCTGAGGTTGGTGAATTGAGTGAGTTCAGGAGTTTGAGACTAGCCTGGGCAACATGGCTAAACCCTATCTCTACAAAAAAAACAACAACAACAAAAAATTAGCCAGGCTTGGTGGTGTGTGCCTACAGTCCCAGATACTTGGGAGGATGAGGTGGGATCACCTGAGCCTGTGAGGCAGAGGTTGCAGTGAGTTAAGATTGTGCCACTACACTTCAGCCTGGGCAACAGAGCAAGACCCTGTCTCAGATAAATAAAATAGTTGCATATTTTAATTGCTAATTTGGAGTTGGCAGTGTGTGTTTATTTGCTTTTCTGGATTGTTCTAAAACGTTTAATCTGATTCTCCCACTTAGCTGTGTAACCTTGGGCAGATTACAAAAAGCAGCTAAACACCCAGTTTCTTTCATTATGAGTGTAATAATAAAACTTACTTCATAGCACCTAGTCTTTTCCAAGTACTAAGTAAAAGCCATTATGATTATTATTATAGGTTAATAATGACTGTTTGCTAGAGTTTATGTTTGTCACATCAAGTCATTTAATCAACATTTGAGAACTCCTCAAAACACTGCACAATTTTTAAAATATTAAAATTACCTGTTAGAAGACCTAGTATAACTTTTTTCTCAAGTGTCCTTTTAGATATAATCCAGATCTATTTTAGATGATTTTCATATAAACTTAAAAATGAGATGTAGTATTATAGTCATTTATTTAATATCCATTTTAAGGTGTTCCTTTATGTTTGTGTTTCATAAGAGGCTCAGGTAATTTTATGCATTTTTATCTATATATGATATAATTTGGTTTTGTTTGGTATTGTAGAAGAAATAATGCTTATGTTTTCCCCTCAGATTATTTTATTACAAGGTTATAAAGAAATAAAGATGGGATATAAAACCATGCCTTATTGATTTAAATATGCTAATGTAAACTCCTATGAAATACAAAGAAATCAACTTAGAAACAAATTATTTCTCCACAAAGTTAGGGTGAAATTATGGAGGCTATTTAACAAGTTTTTGGAAGAAGCATATTAACATTTATAAGCAGAAAATTTGGTTCTTATTTGTAATATGTGGTATTTCACAAGGTGCTTAATTTTCTATAGAAAAGTATCATTTGGAATAACAACCATTAGTCTAGAAATTAATCATTTAAACTCTATTATGCCTCCAATTAAGTTAGAATGAACTATTATAGAAAACCTGACTTTCTTAAGATTGCCTTTAAAATAGGCACCACTTGTATGGTTTTAAAATCTGTTTTAACATAATAGAAGTGTCTTGAAAATAAGGCTATTAATCATTCAGCAAATCTGAGTGCCCGCTATGTGATAAGCACTGAGAGACTTAGAGGATTTAAACTTAAATTAGGTACAATGTTTGCCTTCAAGGAATGTGCATTATTTTATGACCTTTAAAAACCATGTTATTGATGTTAGAAGTTTCAAAATATTAGCTAATGTTAACATTTTAGGATTATCTCTTAAATCCATAGAATTTCATGATTTGTGAAATGAGACCTTCAGTAGCCATCTAAGATAATTAACCTTATATAAGATATTATACAAAACAAATATTTTAAAGTAAATTCTTTACATTTATTTCAAAATACACAGGTAAACTACATTTTATTTGGTGGTTATTAGAAGTGACTGCACTTGGCAGTAAACTCTAGTATTTAAGAGAGTAGACTCTGGATATACCTGCTTTGTTTCAAATTATAGGACCACTTAGCCATGTAGCACTGAGCAAGTTACTTAACTTGTCAAGGGCAGGTTTTTTTTCTAATTTTTAAAACTGGTTGTAAAACCAACCACAACATTGATTCAAAAATTAAATGAGTTGATATATATAAAGCATCTAATAAATCTTAGCTGATGTTGTGTCCAATGATAATTCATTTTTTGCTCATTATAAATAATTTAATGTCTTATTGGAAACACACTAAAAATACCAAAAAGAATAATTAATTCATAATTCTACCCCTTCTGTCTTTAAATATCAAGTGAAGTAGGTGTTCACATTCCCAACCCTTCATTCTTACCCCTCCCTCTCTTTCCTTACCAGCTCCCATCCTAGTTGAATCTCTGTTGATTATTCAGTGCGTATTATTCCCAACTTTTCCTAATGCTTATGTAATAGAGCTGTTTGATACTGGACTTACGAAGAAGCAAAATTGGCCTAGAAGTTTTCCTGAAGGAGGGATTGTGGGTGCTGTGTCCTGATCAGTGACAGTCATACACAAGCACAAACCACCAAGGAGATGCAAGAAATTCTAGTTGGACCTTTGGACCTTTAGACTCTGGGGAAGAAGAAAGTTCTCTTACTAGTTTTGATTATATATCAGGAAAGGAAATGTAGTCTTATTTTTGCATCCCCGAACAATGCTCACAGCCACATTTAACTAGCTTGGAACATTTACAATGTTGGAAGACGCTAGCTGATTCACAGAGATCATACTTTCTTCTTCACTCTTCCAATCAACAATTTTACGTTACCAACTTTCTTCAAGGCCACCTGACCTAACAGCCAAATACTGTAGGCATTTGGGTTTTTACTATACAGGACTCCTCTGTAGCTTTCAGCCATTGTGGCTCCCTCTTACAAATTTCCTTCTTCCTTGATTTTTGTGACACCACGTATCTTAGATCCTCTTTCACCTTACTATCATCTTAAGGATTCTTTCCCTAAGAAATATCCTTATCTGCAATCAACGGCTGTCTGTGTACCTGGGACTTCCAAATCTATATCTTTACTCATAATCTCCAGATCAGGACCCTCAAACTGCTGGGCATCTTCAGCTGCACATCCTACTCCAAATAAAACCTTTTCAACCTGAAGTTATCTAACCCGTGATACAACCAGTTGCTTCTAAAATCTGAGACCTATGACAGCACCATCCATCACCACATTGAACACGTTAGGGACCATAGTGTCATCCTGGATAATTCTTTTATGTGTAATAAGTCCAAAAACTTGCTTCTGTTATCTAATATGTCTTGATTTCATCTTTTATCTTTCTGTGTTGCTACTGCCTTAATTCTGATCACCTTCATCCCTCCCATGGATTATTTTAGTAACTTACCACTGGTCTCTTGGCCATACTCCTAAATAACCTGCCATCCAAAAATCCATTCATTACTTCATCTCAGGAGTTGGCAAACAGAAGTAGGGTCACATTCTTTATGTACTTTCCATTTTTTATGGAATGAAATTCCTACTCCTAGGTATGGCATGGAGGACTGAACTGTCAAAATAATACCGCTGCCTACCTTTTTTGTCTTTTTCTCTGTTACCCCCCTCTATAGGAGAATAAACTGATATGCACAGACACTAGGAAAAGTTTGGTAAAGACAAAATAAACTGTTGATTTGTCTTTCTCCATGGACCAATAAACTCTTTAGATAATCAAAGATTTCCTTTAGTTGGTTTTAACCTTGTCCATTTGGTATGTCCTGAAAATGTACTTCTTAGGTAGTCTTTTAAGCTAAATATTTCTTGAAATATCTGATATTATTCTGTATGGCAAAAGTTGTAAAAGTATTGGTGTAAGGTGCCATTTCTATTTAATCTGATGAAATAAAATAAGTGGATTTTATGATATTTGTCACAAATGTTAGTTTTTATTTACATTTAGGAGACAGTGCAAGGAATGAGACAGAGCTGCTTAACTTTTGTTGGTGGCATCATATGTGAAATGCTATCTAACTAGCTCAAATGACATATGACATTCTACCATACAAATGTCCTCATTCTACCCTAAGGAAAATGCATTATGACACACAATGATAACTCATCCTGTCTGCCTGATGGTAAATGCTGAGAGCAGATGATGTGTCTTATGCACCTTCAGATCCTCCGTACCTGACCGCAGAGCAGCATGAAGGAATTGGTTTGTATCTGAATGAGCCCATCAAATGTTGATTGTAATTTTATTCCATAATTAGACTCAAACAGCATAATGGTTCAAAATCCCACAGGAAGAAAGAGCTGAAAAATATGTTTTAGTGGCTCAGTAACTAAATTTTCAGGTGAAGCATTTGTAGAATTTAGGGGTTGCCAATTCTGAGGCTTCCCTTTTAGCATTTTGTTTGTTTTTGTTTGTTTGTTTGAGACAGAATTTCGCTCTGTCACCCAGGCTAGAGTGCAGTGGAGTGATCTAGGCTCATTGCAGCCCCTACCTCCTGGGTTCAAGTGATTCTCCTGTCTCAGTCTCCTGAGTAGCTGGGATTGCAGGTGTGTGCCACCATGCCTGGCTAATTTTTGAATTGGTAGTAGAGATGGAGTTTCACCATGTTGGCCAAGCTGTCTTGAACTCCTGACTTCAGGTGATCCACCCACCTTGGCCTTCCAAAGTGCTGGAATTACAGGCATGAGCCACTGTGCCTCGCCCCTTTTAGCATTTAATAGACTAAAATTTACCTTAATACTTAATATATACTTTATATACTAAAAAACTTTTAAAAAAACCATTGTATGTATATTTTGCTTGATATTCTTTTTTTAAACTTTTTTTTAATTATAGGAAAGAGAAGAAATACATTGACCGATGTTGGAAAGACGTTACTGTTGGGGACTTTATTCGCCTCTCCTGTAACGAGATCATCCCTGCAGACATGGTACTACTGTTTTCCACTGATCCAGATGGAATCTGTCACATTGAGACTTCTGGTCTTGATGGAGAGAGCAATTTAAAACAGAAGCAGGTGGTTCGGGGATATGCAGAACAGGCAAGTCATGTGTTCTCGGTTGTGGCTTATTCACATTTTTTTTCTGAAGATGGCTGAGCTCATTTTCACATTACAGATAAAGAGATTTTTAATTCATTTTCACCAGGATGAAATAGAATCCCAGAAGGTGTAATTCATTTTCAGATATGAGTGGAAGCGTACTCTTTTCTAGATAAGAGGATAAAATGACTTCAGAGTTCACACACTTTGGTGGGGCACTCATGTTTTTGAGAATGGAATTAAAGGAACCAGACAGAATTATTTGCAATTTGGAAAAAAAAAAAAACACCTGCTAATTTATTTTTCTTAAACTTACACTTTATATCTAATTTTTGGTTGATCATTGTTTCTAAAATCTGTAATTACTTATATACCAAAGCTTAAGAGTTTTGTAGCTTCTCATGCTACATAGCTTTTAGACCTTTCTTAATATTGTGCAGAGGGAAACAGAAACCTTGAAGTTATATTGACACAGATTTAAATGAATCGCAGTTCTGCCATTAATTACTGTGTGACTTTGGACAAGTCATTTAAACACTTTATGCCTCAGTTTTTTTAATCTTAAAATGAAAATAATGGTACCTGCTCTGTAGCATTATTGTAGGATTTAAATGAAATAATATGCATTGAAACATCATATATAGTATCTAAATGTCAGTTTCCTTCCCCTTTCTCTGAAAGCACTTGAGATGAAATAATTTACAATTTAATGATCTTTTTCTTTCTTTTTAACCCAAATGACTATTATGTTAGGATTTCTTCATCTTACACTTATAAACCAAAAAAAAGTGTTTTAGCCTACTAATACCTTTATCTTTTGGTAAATTTCACCTTGTCATATTGGTACCACCTCTCTACCTATGGACTTCATTTAGATCCTCTGTGATTTTTATGCCTAATAGACTACTGTCATTGTCACTTTTATAAGTAGTCTTGTACCAAAGACATTGGTAAAAATTCTGCACAACGTAACATCCTGTTGTAAACTACATACCCACTTTGAGTATTAATCAGCAATTCATATTTGCCATTAAAAGTAATGGCAAAAGCACATTACTTTTACACCAACCTAGTATTAATCAGCACATTGTGGGTTCAATTAAGGGTGAATCTGGTGACCTAGATTTTAATCCTGCTCTAAACACTTTCTTGTTTTGAGAACTTTGGCAAATTACTGATTCTCTTTGTGTCTGTCTTTCCTCATCTGCTAATTAGGTCTAATTACTATAGTACCTTCCTCATGGAGTTGTGAAGAAGAAACTAGCTAATATATTAAAAGTGCATAATAGATTTTAGTGTGTCAAAAGAACTCTGTAGATATTACTCATTAGAAAATAAATCATATCATATGTTAATATTTTTCATGTTTCCTATTATATACATATTAATTCTGATATTTATCAATATCAATAGCATTTACCTTACTGGTCAAAATGGATATGAAAATAAAAGTAATGAAATAATGTTGATGTGGCTTGTTTTAGGGAAATCCATGCCTTAAAGGAGCTGTGTCCTCCAAAGGCACTTCGCTTATTTGTTCATTCCTTTCATAAAGAATTCTGTAATTGTCTAATCCATTGGAAAACTTTATAGATATTGATGTTTAGTTTATTTTTAAATTGTTATTTATAAAATTTGGCTGAAATCGAATGCATATGTGCTCAAAGTGTTCACATATACATTTAATCTCAAAATTACTTATGTGATTAAAGGCCAACAACAAAAGTATGTTCAGTTTTTCAGTGCTTTATTGATAAAAAGGTGTTTATAAGTAGAAACTCTCTTCTAGAGAGTCCTACGTGAATTTCAGTAAATGACTGAGACATTCCCATCAGCTGCAGATGTTTATTAGTGCTCTAGGACCATTCTGATTCCATTTATGGATCACATCATTATGCCTCTACTTTCCTTCCTTTGGGAAATTCATGATATAAACTTCACTGCAAAAAAGGCTTAGCATTATTTTAAGAATTGGTGAAGTGATAAAACACTTCAATATTAAGGATTTAATCTTGAATTCTTGTTTTGTGATTCAAAAAATACTTTTAGGACTCTGAAGTTGATCCTGAGAAGTTTTCCGGTAGGATAGAATGTGAAAGTCCAAACAATGACCTCAGCAGATTCCGAGGCTTCCTGTGAGTAATACATGACATACCTTTGTAGGCGTGAGTGGAATTGTGTGTTGCAATTGTACTTAACTTGATAAAGTGTTTCTGTACTTATACCCTTGTTAAATCACTAAAGGTTGTAACTTTAGCCACCTACTAAAGAATTTGGCTTATTTTAATTATTTAATAAGTATTTACACACACACACACACACACACACGCACACACACAATTCATTCTGTAGGCAACTTATGGCATCCAGATCTCCTTTGCAAGGGCAGCTAGAATTTGGAGTCCTTACCTAATTTCAGGCATCAGCCCATAAATATTCTGTGGCCTTGAGCCAAACTTTGATCCTCAGCTTCCTGATTTTTAAGAGAAGACAATTAGACCTACTTCACAGTGTGAGAAAAGCAAAGTTCCCAAATCATATATTGAAATGTGAATTATCCTGATACTATTACCATGATACCAAGAGCATATAAAGACATTTAATGGAAGACAAATATCCCACATGAGCATAGATGCAAAAATTCCACACAAAATTATAGCAAATCAAATCCAACAATGTATGAAAATGATAATACATCATGACCCAGTGGGATTTATCCCCCCAAACCTCAGGATTGGTTCAACATTAGAAAATAGTACTATGTAATTCACTATACTAGGACTGTATTAAACCATATTAAACAAATCAAAAAGGAAAAACCAGGTGGTTATCTCATAAGTGTAGAAAAAACATTTTACAAATTTAATTTCCATTCCTGCAAACTAGAAGTAGAAGGGAACTTAATCTGATAAAGGGCATCCATGAAAAACCTAGAGATAGCAGCATATTTAATCATGAAATAACTTCTCTTCTAAGATCAGGAACAAGACAAGCTTACACTGGAAGATCTGGCTAGTGTAGTCAGGCAGGAAAAGGAAATGAAAGATATCAAGCAAGAAAGAAGTAAAACTATCTTTTATTCACAGATTTCACAGATGGTATCATGTTCTTTGTAGAAAATCTGATGAAATCTCCAAAAAAAAACTACTAAAAATAATGATTTAGCAATATTGTAGAAAACAAGATCCAGATAACAAAAATCAATTGTATTTTTGTATGCTAACAATGAGCAGATATTGAAATTTAAAAAAAATACAATTTATTCTAGCATCAGAAAAATGGAATGCTTAAGTATAAATCTGACAAATAATGTGAACTACCTGTTTTTCACTAAACACTAGTGAAAACAAAATTCAAGAACTAAATAAGTGGTATCAGTTTTCCCCCAGATTTATCTATAGAGCCAGTGAAATCCCAATCAAAATCTCAATAAGGTCTTTAAGGAATTGACAAGCTTATTTTAAAATTTAAGTGGAGATGCAGAATAACTAAGGCAACTTTGGAAAAAAAAATAAGAAAAAAGCTAGAGGGCTAAAACCACATGATTGTAAGACTTTTCAGAAAAGTATAATAATCAAGCCAGTGTCATTTTGGCATAAAGATAGACCAGTAGATCAGTGGAAGAGATTATGTAGTCCAGAAATACACCAATGCATTTATGGACAATTGGTTTTTAACAAAGGTGGAAAGACAAATAGATGGAGATTGGTTATGTTTCAACAAACAGTACTGCAACAACAGGGTATTTATGTTTCAAACATTAACTTTAATCCATACTGCTCACCACTTACAAAAATTAACTCAAAGTGAATCCTAGACTTAAATGTAAATCTACATAATAAAAACTTTCAGAAAAAACATAGTGGAAATCTTTTTACTTTGTATTATACAAAGATTTCTTAAATACAACACCAAAAGCACAATCCATTAAAGACAAAAATAAATAAAAGAACTCATCAAAATTTAAAATTTCGCTCCTCTATGATACTGTTTATGGAATGAAAAGACAAGTCGCAGACAGGAAGAAAATATTTGCAATCCATGTATTTGATATGGGACTTAAATATTCAAAATATGTAAGTCCCATATTTATTCAGAATATATAAAGGCCTATAAAAATTCAGTAATAAAACAAATAATACAACTTTAAAAGTCGTCAAAAGACTTTGAACTAATGTATTTGACATTTGAATGCAAATAATTTTGTGAAAAGATGCAGGTTAAACCACAGAGCTTTACCTGCTAAAATTAAAAAGATCAACTGTACCAAGTGTTGGCAAGGATGTAGAGGAACTTGTACCCTTAGATGCTATTAGTGGGAATGTAAAATAGTACAACCACTTTGGAAAACAATTTGGAAATTTTGGAAAAAGCTAAGCATATGCTCATTATATAACGTGACCATCCCACTCCTAGACAATTACCCAAGAAAAATAAAAATATGTGTTAATTCTATGACCTGTATACAATGTTCATAGCAGCTTTATTTATAATAGCCAAAAACTGGCAGAAACCCAATGTTCATCAACAGGTAAATGGATAAACAACTCAATAAAGTTGGTTAAAATTCTAAGAAAAGTAACAATAAGATGGAAGGAAATGTAGAATATAATAGTAGTGTCTTTTTTTTTTATTTTTATAGGTTCAGTGGTACATGTGCAGATTTATTACATGGATATGTTGTGCAATGGTGAGGTTTGGGCTTCTAGTGTACCCATCTAAATGGTGAATTTTTCCTCATAGGTAATTTTTCAACCCTCATGCCCCTCCCACCCTCCTTTCTTTAGGAGTCCCCAGTGTCTATTATTTCCTTCCATATGTCCATGTATAACCATTCTTTTTTTTTTTTTTTAAGGAAAACAAATTGTATGCTTTACTGAAGCTTGATTATAAGTGATGCAGTTAAGAAATACATTTTGTCTGATTTTCCAAGTAAAAGATCTTTTTAAAGCTTTTTAAAGCATTTTTAAAAGCTTCTATGTAAATAAGCATGCAATAAATGCTGTAGAGAAGTTAAATAAATCTTCAAAAATTGTGAAAAAAGTCTGATTTTGTGAGTTTGTCATAGAATATTTTAATAGAATTCTGTTTTGTTATTTTGAAGTAGGTAAAACCAGACCAGTAATACCATGGTGTCTTTAGAAAAATCTACTATAGCAGATAGATATCATTCTTTTTTTTAAAATTATTTTTTATTGCATTTTAAGTTTTGGGGTGCATGTGAAGAACATGCAAGATTATTGCATAGGTACACACATGGCATTGTGACTTGCTGCCTTCCTCCCCATCACCTATATCTGGCATTTCTCCCCATGCTATCTCTCCCCAACTCCCCACCCCCTGCTGTCCCTCCCCTGTTTCCCCCCAACAGACCCCAGGGTGTGATGCTCCGCTCCCTGCATCCATGTGTTCTCATTGTTCAACACCCGCCTATGAGTGAGAACATGCAGTGTTTGATTTTCTGCTCCTGTGTCAGTTTGCTGAGAATGATGGTTTCCAGGTTCATCCATGTCCCTACAAAGGACATGAACTCATCGTTGTTGATGGCTGCATAATATTCCATGGTGTGAATACCCATTCCTTAGCTCCCACTTAAGAGTGAGAACATGCAGTATTGATTTTCTGGTTTTGAGTTAGATCACTTCAGACAGTGATCTCAGACACCATCCATGTTGCTATAAAGGCACGATTTCATTGTTTTTTATGGTTGAGTAGTAGTTCATGGTGCCGTGTGTGTGTGTGTGTGTGTGTGTGTGTGTGTGTGTATCAATCACATTATCTTTAATCATCTGTTGATGGACATTTAGGTTGATTTCATGACTTCACTGTTATGAATAGCACGACAAGAAACACATAGGTGTGGGTGTCTTTTTGACATAAAAATGGTAGTTCTATTTTTAGTTCATTGAGAGGTCTTCATACTGTTATCCACAGGAGTTGTACTAATTTACATACCCACCAATGGTGTATAAGCATTCCTTTTTCTCTGCATCCTTGCCAACATCTGTTATTTTTTGACGTTTTTAATAATAACCATTCTGACTGGTGTGAGATGGTATCTCATTGTGGTTTGAATTGGCATTCCTCTGATGATTTGTGATACCATTTTTTCATAGGCTTGTTGGCCGCTTGTATGTCTTCTTTTGAGAAATGTCTGTTCATGTCCTTTGTCTACTTTTTAATGGGGGTATTTGGTTCTTTTGTAGTTGTTGCTTTGTTTGAGTTCCTTATAGATTCTGGATATTAGTTGTTTGTTAGATGCATAGTTTGCAAATATATTTTTCCATTCTGTAGGTTGTCTGTTTACTCTATTGATTGTTTCTTTTGCTATGTAGAAGCTGTTTATTTTAATTAAATCTGATTTGTCTATTTTTGTTTTGTCGCATTTGCTTTTGAAGTCTTAGTCATAAATTCTTTGCTTAGGCCAATCTCCAGAAGAGTTTTTTCTGCGTTTTCATCTAAGATTTTCATAGTTTCAAGTCTTACATTTGAGTCTTTAATCCATTTTGAGATTTTTTTGTAGATCATGAGAGGTAGGAATTCAGTTTAAATTTTCTCAGCACGATTTATTGAATAGGGTGTCCTTTCCCCATTGCTTATTTTTGTCAATTTTGTCAAAGATCAGTTGGTTGTAGGTATGTGGCTTCAATTCTGGGTTCTCTACTCTTTTCCACTGATATATGTGTCTGTGTTTTTGCAGCAGTACCATGCTGTATTGGTCACTATAGCCTTGTAGTATAGTTCAAAGTCAGGTCATGTGGTGCCTCCAGCTTTTTTCCTTTGTTCAGGATTGTTTTGGCTATTTGGACTTTTTTTTTTGTTCCATATGATTGTAGAATTGTTGTCTTCTAATTCTGTGAAAAACGATGTTGATATTTTATACAAATTGCATTGAATCTGTAGATTTCTTTGGGCAGTATGGACATTTTAACAATATTGATTCCTCCAATCCATGAGCATGGGATGTTTTTCCATTTATTTGTGTCATCTACAGTTTCTATAATCAGTGTGTTGTAGTTCTTCTTGTAGAGATCTTTCACCTCCTTGGTTAAATATATTTCTAAGTATTTCATTTTGTGTGTATGTGGCTGCTAGAAATGAGATTGAGTTCTTGAATTGGTTGTCAGCTTGAACG